CAGAGAGGAAGGGAGAGGGATAGAGAGTTAGAAACATCCATGAAAGAGAAACACCGGTCAGCTGCCTTCCTGCACATCCCCTACTGGGGATGTGCCCGCAACTAAGGTACATGCCCTTGACCAGAATTGAACCTGGGACCCTTCAGTCCGCAGGCTGACGCTCTATCCACTGAGCCAAACCGGTTAGGGCAAATATATATATATATTTTGTTGTTAATATATTTTTATTGATTTCAGAGAGGAAGGGAGAGGGAGAGTGAGAAACATCAATAATGAGAGAGAATCTTTGGCTGCCTTCTGCACGCCCCACACTGGGGATCAAGTCCGCAACCCGGGCATGTGCCCTGATGGGAATCGAACTGTGACCTCCTGGTTCCTAAGTCAACGTTCAAGCACTGACCCATGCTGGTGGGGCCCATCCTGCTTCTCTTACCCTCAGAACCCCCCCTCCCCTGGCCTGGCCTGGGCCGCCTCTGGAAGATGGTTATTCAGGGGTGCATGTGTCTGGGGGGATGTGTGCGGGTCTGGGGGTGCTGGTCCAGGGGGTAGTCACCCACTCCTTCACGCTCTGAGGCTCAGATTTCATCTGCCCACCGCCCTCTTTCCAGGTCCAGCTCTGCAGGCACCTGTTTAGCAGAATGAGCAGAGCAGAAGAGAATGAAACAGAAGTGGTTATAGCTGCACCCGCCATTAGTTAGCAGTGGCCCTTGCCTCACTCTATGGCATCTATGATTATTACACGGGTTGCCTATTAGAGCTGAAAAGTGTTTAGATGGGCGGGGGTGGGGGGAGGTGTGCCTTTCAGAGGAGGAGTATGGATACTGGATTGCAGGGTTTGCCACCACCACTTGGACCTCGGACCTTGCAAACCAGGGTGGTGTTGAATTAGGAAATAGCGGTTTGGGGGATTTAAAAGGTGAATGGAGGGGAGGGGCCCCCGGATCAATCTACTAGGTTCAGAATCTCATGCCTTTCCCCTGTAGTTCCCTCCCCCTGCTCCGGGCAGCAGCTCCGTGCTTTGCATAAAGGTCAGCAAAGGGGTCACCCTCCTGATGATTCCCTTCCACGCGGCAGGAGGAGGAAGCCGGGCTCCCTCATCCGCCACGAAGCCGCTGCACAATCCTGACTGACAGCTGCACTTCCCTCCCGGGAGCGGCAGCGCTTCGGGGGTTGCCATGGTCCATGGGAGTAAAATGCCGGCCGCCCTCTGCTGCACCGGCCCGGCGCGGGCTGCGGCTGTCACCCCTCGGGGCTCCCTCCAAGGCTTTGGAAAGCGCTCCCTGCGGGGAGGAGGGGCCGGGACCTTCACCGGGGCTCCGGTCCAGGCGGCCGGGGCGAATCAAAGGGGCCTTTCTCCCGCCGGCGGGGTGGGGGGTGGGGGGAGCGCCGGGCTCGTTTCAAGGGACTGTCCGCCCTCGGGCTTCCCTGGCTGCGGGCAGCGCCTGCCAGCTATTCCCCGGGGCGTCCTCACCCTCATCTTTCCCGGAGGGAG